CCGTAAGCACTGCACTCTTTACAGGGAGTCACAGGATACAAATGACCTGTGAAGAAAAAGAAAAAAAACAAACAAACAAACAAAAAAAACCCCACGTTTCTTTGGGCTTGAAAACACAGGATTTGCTCGTTTAGTTCTTTTGAGTTCTTGCCACTAGACATAGGCTACCGAGACATTAATGTTGTTGGACAAGGGTGTTTAGGGGAGGGACTGAAAGAGAGAGTGTGAGAGAGAGAGACCCATGAACTGCGGCTTCTTGGGCCCGGCGGTGCCGTGAAGGAAGCGGCGTGGGGTTCGGGCTGGCCCCAGCACGCGCAGGGCCGTGCGTCGGTGCAGGCGTCGCTCGTGAGCTGTCGCTTTAGGGTGTGGGTTTTTTTTTTTTTTAATGTTTTCATTATTGTTATGCACACTGGGCTCAGTTTTGGCTATGTCCTTGATGGGGGGTGGTGGTGTTTTGGTCAATTTATTTATTTAGCTGGAAAGGAAAAGCACTTGGTAAATGGGCCAGTGCATGGTGTCTGCATCTCGTGGCTAGGTGGGCCATTGGCACGTGTTTCCTAGCGGTGGTCGGGCACTGTACTCTGCCCCCGCACGTTACACGGCCCGTGGTCACACGCGGCTCTGCTGTTCCTTGCAGACCATAGTTGCTATTAACAAGGACCCAGAAGCTCCCATTTTCCAAGTGGCGGACTACGGGCTGGTGGCAGACTTGTTTAAGGTGAGCCGAAACTTGGAGCCGTGCATGCCGCGAGCGCAAGCAGCGGTGCCAGATACTACTGCATAATAACTGTTAAAAAGACATCTGCCTGTGTAAGGATATTTGAATTACTTTTATTTATGTATTTAAAGGCTTTTGAGGCGTGATGATTTTTAGCATCAGTCTCAAAATTCAGTCCTTGGGGGGGGGAGGGGGCGCTGTGTGAGATAATCATTGTGCATTTATTTTAGTGTCCTGAATTTGAACCATTTTTGAGAACCCAAACAAACAACTGCATATAGGTGCCAACATGTATTTTGACATGTCATACAAGTATGACAGTAGAGCGGTGCCACTGGCTGCTGCCTGCACCCGCTGGTGGGCTCGGTGCTGCCTGACTGCTGCCCTGGGCCTCGCTGGTGCCCAGCACCTGCAGGGCGCGCCTGCAAA